CACACTAGAAACCAAAGAAGACGCAAGTCAAACAATCGCCAGCAACTAAGCAGACATCCTCAAGTCAACACTGACACCACCGCGACCGTTCCTGGAACTGAACCTTTTGCAACTGTTTACAACCCTGATATCATTATGACTATTCCCAACACGGACAATCTTGCGACCGTTACGGCCACTCCCAACGTACAACTACACAACAACCAGCCAAGCAGCACTTCATTTGAATTGAGCAGAGACCATTTGTTTGCTCCTGATCGATCCCAGTGGATCTCGCCCTCTACCTTATTGCCATCTACATTGGTTCTGGAAACTGTGAATCCTGGCAAGTTAAACCAGCCAAGCCAATACGTCAACCACTCAGCTACTGCCACAATTCCACTGCGTCCCGATCCTCCAAAGACCTATGATCCTCGAATCGATGATGAGGATACCTCACTACCCCTCCGACGCAGAAAGCTACGCAAGTCAACATGCATTGCGTCTACGTCCTCCGACCAGGATGGTGATACTAATGAACCCCGTCAGTCCACATCATACACAACAGAACCTCAAGATCCTCCGCAGTATGCTAATCCCATGCAGACATCTTGGTGCAAGCAACCCCGAAAGCCTTCTAAAACTATTGTATCTACAGTATCTAACAATGAGGCCGCTACTTCGGATCAGGGTCACCAATCTGTTCATCACATTGACTCAGCTCAAGATCAATCTCTCAACAAGTCCTTTCACCAAGAGGAGAATTACATCTCTGTCTCTGATTGGGATCAGCAAAGCGAGACATCCTTTCCCCAAGATGAAGATTTCATCCCTGATCAAGATCAACAAAGCGATTTGGATTACATCTCTGATTGGGATCAGCAAAGCGAGACATCCTTTCCCCAAGATGAAGATTTCATCCCTGATCAAGATCAACAAAGCAATTCAGATTACATCTCTGATCGGGATCAGCAAAGCGAGACATCCTTTCCCAAAGATGAGGATTTCATCCCTGATCAAGACCAACAAAGACATTTGGAGTGGGACTCACCTGATCAAGATGAACAAAGCTATCGGCAGTTGGACTCGCCTCAAGAACAGCACGGGGACTCACATGAAGATCACTTTAGTCCTAATCGAGATGAACAAAGCCATCAGGACTTAGACTCACCTCAAGAACAAATTATCAACCAGACAGAGGAAGGCTTGATTTCTGATCAGGATCAGCAAAGCAATTGTGACTTGGACTCGCCTCGAAATCAATCAGGACATGTACCAGCTGACAGGAATTCTCTCAAAGAGAAATCATTCAATCTTTCCGATCACCAAGAGCCCACTGCTGATGATGATGAGTATACTACTCCCGAATTATCGGGTACTTTACAGGGACTAGGATCTTCAACCTCAGATGACCGTGCTTCTACATCTGATAGCCGCAACGATGTCGAAGTCCAATCACTTTTGGTGCCTGCTCAATCCAAACAAAGCACACAGTCTTCACACTCACACACGCGCACACAATCCAATCAAACCAAAGAGCTACCTCCTGACTTACCACGTGAGAGGATTTCATTCTTCTATCTTCTTTGTGCCTGTTCCCCTGATTCTGATATGCTCTTCTATAGCCTCATCTCGCTTAACAGTTGCTCAGAAGAAAGAATACCTGAAGCATTACAGTGTTCGATTCAAATCTCGCGACAAAAAGGCCCGTATTACCGAACTGTATGATGCTATGCGAACTCGTCAAATTGCCAAGGCCATGCAGAAGAGTCGTAATGCCGAAAACTTCCCTCCGACATCTCCTGACACTCACCATCCGACTTCAAAGCTTAAGTCGAAACGTCACCTGCGCAAAAAGGGCAAAGCAAACGCCAAAGCAGACCAAATCGCCTCTATCCCTTGTACCTCACCCACTCTACTGTTCTCTGAAGGATTGGCACCAAGTAGTCCTTGCTCCATGCAGTCTGTGATTTACGACTCAACAGGCCGTCCTGATTGCCTATCTTCACCGGCTCCATCATCACGCATGTCTATCGATAACGATATTTTCACAGCCCATGCCGACTGTAATAACCGGTCTGAACGCATGTCCCTAGATGACGAGCCATCTGATGTATTTAGGTGGCGAACTTCTGTGACTTCAAATTCTCATTTCGATAAGGAAAATGTGAACGATAGTGGACCAATTGTACTTGCGCTCCAATCCTATGCCCGTCAGTCCACAGAAATGAGCAAACAAATGCTCAACAGGATGGATGGGATGGTTGATAGATTGGATAGTGTAGCCGAAGCTGTGGAAGATTTGAACACAACTGTTCAAGTGAATTCCAACAACCATCCTCTCTCTAGAAACTCTAAGGGCAAAGGGAAAGGTAAAGATCCTCTGACTGGTGATAATGCAATGCCACAAGGCGGTGAATTTGCTGTACGTGTTGAGTAATTTTGTCTGCATTGTGGTACCTTGCTGACTCCAGTCTGCTGTTCAGCGCTTGATCCGACAACATTTGGCTACTCTCCTGGGGTGGAAAGGCAAAACTCTTCCTCATCATGATGAACAGGATTCACGCATGAACATCGATGATGAGCTGGAGGATCTTTCCAGCGATCCAGACTACCCATATCGTAACGGACCCGGCCATCCATCTGCTACCCCCGAAACCCTGGCCATCATGTGGAGGATGATGTCCGAAGCCCAAATTGATTCCTTCCGCCCCGACTTCAACCAACCAATTGACAGTCCTGATAATGTGCATCTGCTTGATCTAGCTGTGAAGACATTCCTTGAGTTAGTCAAATGCAAAGAGTATACTGGGATTGACATGGAAAATGTAAATGAAGAAATAATCAGAAATGCAATTCATCGTCATGTGACCTGGCGACTCAGAAGACGGTCAGTTCTATTCAAATGCTGTGTTTGTGCCTCTCACACCTCATTTGTAGCTTGTACTAATTCATGTCTCATCACTAAAAATCTCAGCTATCGTCAAGAGAATAAGTGGGAACCTGGCAAAAAAGCTGAGCATAACAAGAATGTTCGACGCACTTCAAGATTGACCAATGTGAGTAAATGACTCTGTGAGCCATTATTTCCAGTCTAACAAAAACTTCCCTATCTTTCAGCTACGACATGCCCGAGTTGAAGTCTTGAGCAATTACCCAAATCTTTCCGGTCTTATTCCAATCGTCCAAGTTGCATGCAGTGACGATGACACCGATAATGAAGTTGCCCAAACCGTCCAAACCTCCTATTCGAAGAAGCAGCCTAAACGATGCATTGTTCGATCAATCCCATGGCGACATCCCAAAATTGCTGGCATGATGGTTAAAATTGATCAGTTGAAGGCTAGTATAATTGCAGCAACCCCCAAAGGCTCTTCTGGTGCTGCTCCTCGGGTACGGCGACGTGTTTCTTCACCAAAGGCAAGTGAGTTAAAACCACCATCTGATACCTCAAAGGCGGTCTTCAGTCGTGAATGGCTTGAAAACCTTACTTGGCATCGTAGAGAAGCTTTGAATTTGCGCTCAAAACCTGATGTTAAAGCTTTGGTTCGAGAACTTGAGAAGATTACTTGTTAGCTAGTCATTTCTTTCAATCATTTATTTTAATTTCTCATCCTGTACATGTTTTGCTGCATTAAAATTGTGTTCAAATTTTTTAAACAATTCCTTACAGCTCTGAGTTTTTTTCTAAATAAATTTAAAATCTTGTACATATCTTATCATCACATTTTTAATTCAATTAAGTCCTTACAGCTCCCAGTTTTTTTTTAAATAAATTTAAATTGTTGTATATATGATATCATCACATTCTTAATTTCATTAAAATTCTTGTAAATATTTTGTCATCACCTTATTACAATCAAATTTAAAAAAAACTCAACTGAAAACAAGTCATCAGGATCAGAGGAGGATAGAGAGCACAGGAAATAATTGAAAACTAAGCAAGACATCAAAAAATCAAGAGATACAAATCAATCTATCAAGATTAACAAAGGAAAACATCCTCAGAAAAAAAAAGAAAAAAAAGAAGGGAAAAAACTTTGGAATTGATCAAAATACCTGTTTTTTTGATCAAAGTTCCTCAGGGAAAAATGAACAATCCTCACAGTGTTTTAAAAAAATTGGATTGCACCATAAATTTCTACACACATTGAAACCTAGGAAATAGTTTTAAAATTTCAAAAAAGCATAAAGAATAAGCTATACACATGTATGCAAACAATTAATTGAAAAATAAGTGGAAAAAAAGGGCCTTAATAAAAAAACCCGCATTTTCCGCGTTTTGACGCGCTTTTGCCGCGCCGCAGCACACGCGCATTCCGTGTTTAAACGCGCGTTTATTAATTAATTTATTTCTACCATTATTTTTGAGTTTTTTTGATTTTTTAAAATTTTTTCCTACACTTTGAAGGGTGTAGAATTTAATGGTAAAGTCCATTTACCATAAAAACGACTTTGATTTTTTTTTTCTGCTAACTCATATGTACAATTAGCTGTTACTGGCTCGTTTTTCATTATTTTTTGACATTGTAAATTTGATTCCTACACTTTGAAAGGTGTAGAATTCAATGGTAATAATTATATTGCATAAAAATGAATTGTATGCCTTGTAATTTTTTTAACCACTCATTTTTCCTATTAATTGTTACCAGCTTGTTTTTAAATCTTTTTTGACTTTGTAAAGTTGTTTCCTACACTTTGAAAGGTGTAGAATTGAATGGTAAAATTTATTTTGCTTAAAAATGAGTTCTTTGCCTTTGAATTTTGGCTCCCACTCATTTTATTGATGCAAGCACTGTGGAAAGTTCCCAGTGGTTATTCAACCTTCCGAACTTGAATTTCTCAATGGAAAAAGGACACAGAATGCTTGGCGGTCAAGAGGATCAAGAAACAAGTTGATTGATGGTTTTCTTGAAGAAATTGGTCAAGAATTGGCTGAGTTATTCAGAGTTGGGGTTTGAGTCCTACTAGCGTTCCAGAGATGATTTAAAACAAAAGAGAGGTCCAGCGGCAAAAATGGAGACGGTGGCGGTCAAGAGGATCAAGAAAGAAGATGATTGATGGTTTTCTTGAAGAATTTGGTTGAGGATTGGCTGAGTTATTCAGAGTTGAAGTTTGAGTCAATTGAGAGTCCCAGTGATGATTAAAAAAAACGAGAGGTCCAGCGGCAAAAACGGAGACGGTGGCGGTCAAGAGGATCAAGACAGAAGTTGATTGATGGTTTTCTTGAAGAAATTGGTTGAGGATTGGCTGAGTTATTCAGAGTTGAAGTTTGAGGCCTAACAATGACTTAAAAAAAAACAAGAGATGGATCAGCAAATTTAAAGAGTGTGGCGGTGAAGAGCATGAAAAATGGGTGCTTTTGGTATTTTTTTTTGTGAATTTTGGTTGAGGAATGCCCAAGTTATGATTTTTTGAAGTTTAGAGTGTACCTGCCAGTTGGAAATGAGCCGGAGGTGAATCCAAAAAATCCGAGTCCGTGGGGTCGAAGAGGAGAAAAAATGGGTGATTTTGGCATTTTTTTTGTTGATTTTGGTTGAGTTTTGACTGAGTTGTGGTGTGTTGAAGGTTTAGAGGGGGGGTGATGTCCTTTTTTGATTGTGGTGAGTGGTTTTCTTGTTTGGTGCCTGCAGGAAAATTTTCAAACTTCATGCAGGCACTTGTGGTACGCGCGCGCGCCCCCTGGAGGCGAAATTATGCATAAATTATGCATAATTAATAAATGCGCGTTTCAAAACGCGGAAAATGCGGGTTTTTTTATTGAGGCCCAAAAAAAATTAACAATTAAAATTCATTTTTATGAAAAATGGTTTTTACCATTAAATTCTACGCCTTTTATAGTGTAGGAAACAATTTTAAAAATTCAAAAAAACTTAAAAAATAAGTGGGAAAAAATTAAATAAAAAACCGCGTGCAAACGCGGAATCCGCGTGTGCTGCGCGCAGCAGAAACCGCGTGTAAACGCGGATTTACCGCGTGTTTTTATTAACGCCCTTTAGTAAGGCCCAAAAAATAATTAATAATTAAAATTCATTTTTATGGTAAATGGACTTTACCATTAAATCCTACACCTTTCATAGTGTAGGAAACAATTTTAAAAATTCAAAAAAACTCAAAAAACAAGTGGAAAAAAAGTAATTAAAAAACCGCATTTAAACGCGGAATTGGTGTGTGCTGTGCGCAGAAGAAACCGAGTTTTTTTATTAATACCCTTGGTTAAAACCCCCTGCAGTAAGGTTGGTTGGAGGCGGCCAATAAAAGATTGGTCTCCATGACCAATTTTATAATGGACAAGCCCACTGATGCATAAACCCTTTGTTCTAATGTATTGGTGGTCCCAGCCAATATAAAATTGGTCTCCCAAGCTGATTTTAAATTTGTGCCCTCTGTTTGAATTTACTGTGCGGGTTGTAACCAATACAACCCCTTTCTCCATGACAGTCATCATAAATGGCACATTGGAGGACTTCCCGTCGTCTAAAATTGTAAATTTAGAAGGAAGGGCTAAAGCTTATTGGCTGGTGAAAATTGTTCAACCTCAAAATTTCCCCCGCAAACAAAGTTTAGCCGGTCTGTCTAAAATTAACCATCTGGTCGACGGGAAGTCCTCCATTGTTGCATGAATCACAAAGCCATGTCATTTTGACAAATGGCCACTGCTTACAGCAAACAGAGCTGGCACCGGAAAACTAAACATCCAATTGTTTCCACTGTTCATATTTTAATCCACTGTGCATGAATTCTAATTTGTCATTCATCCTAATCTTCTTTTTACTTTTCTCTTGATTGGTCCTCCTGAGGTAAAACATTAAGCTGATTCTAAATTATAAGAAATTCAATTTTTTGTAGATAAGCTCCTGTAAGAAGGAAATGAAAAATTTAATCTGTCTCTGAAACTCAACCATGGTTTTAAATTTCCATTGATCACTTGACTGAGAAGACTAAATGAAGTCTTACAAGTTTCCAAGCCATTAAAATTAGATCATGTGAAGCTCTTCACAGGGCAATGTGAGCTATAATCTGCACAATTAATAATGGCTGGTACTTAGCCCCACTGGCTACAAGTTATGGTACAGACAATAATGCCTCTATTCAAATTTTATTGGGAGCCAAATACCACTCTAGTTTTTTTGCTCATACTTTGTATTCTACTGTTGAAAATCAATTAGCTCTCTGTGTTTATCATATCTTGATTTAAAGTGAAAGATTCTGAAATACTGATTGGATTTTTCACAAAATATAGAGAAATCCTGACAAACATTCTACCTCATTGAAGAAGCTCTTGTACTTTTTTCTTGTCACTGCTTTTAATCAGACCACAAAGTCCACACAACTGATTCAAGAATTCAGTTCTTTCTTCATAACCACATCTTTCTTGCCACATTTCTGAGGCCGTATAATCATATTGTGGAACCATCAGAGCACAAGATTAAACATCAATCATTGTTCTCAATCCAAGATCAAACAGGATTTCTTGGACTATAGTACTGGGTTGTCCACTACTCATATATCAATTCTTATCTTTATCATGCTCTAGAAATCTTTCATCAAATTGAACTTGGTAAGAATTCATGTGTCTGCTTCCACTCCAGGTACACTGGTGAATAGAAATTCAAACTTATACCACCATGTTTTTTTTTTCTCCCATGATCTAAGGCCAGGTATAAAAAATGAAGAAAACATGTGTTTTGGTTTTAGCTGCAATCTTTATCAGCCTGGATTTTTGCCAGGCTCCTGGTTTCATAGAGACTGTATTGGATAATGTGGAATGGAATGACTTACCTGGATTTCGGCAACAAACACAACAACAGATTGAAGGAGGATTGTGGGGCCAGTCACAATATTATCATCGTCAGAATAGCCCACACATTAATTTCCCCAATGTGGGTGTCACAGTTTCATATGGATCACGTGAGGGGATGATTTACATTACAAACCAACAGAACCGGCTCTTAGAATACCTACTGCTACATGAGGATGGATCTCGGTACTTGAACTTTTTAATCCGACCCAATAGCCAAGACATTGTTCCAGGGAATACGGCCACTGTCTGGGTTAGAGTCCCTAATGGTTGATTTTTCCTAGAAAACAAGAGATTTATTAGGGGGTATCAAATATAGGAAATCCACCATTAGAAACCAGTCACTTTTCCCAAAAAATATTTTTACATCAAAGGGCCCCAAAAGGGGTTGAATGAATAACCAACATGTTTAAGAAAGGGTGGATTTTTTCAAACCAGTCAATTAAATAATGGTGGATTTGGCTATATTTGATACCCCTATTCAATTCTATTTAGGTGGTAGCCTATATAATCAAATCCACCATTACTCAATTGGCAGGTTTCAATACACTGTCTGGGTTGAGGGTATCCCAGTTCAGCTGAGATACACTCAACCAAGTTAAAATTGTTTATAATTTAATTTTTCACTTGGGTGAGACAGCTTGAGTGCATCCTAGTTACCCAAAACTTAGCCAATTATGTTGGCAGTGCATACATATCTATCTCAAGTAAGGCTACCCTTATTCCATATGTTTCCATATGCAAGTATAAAAAACTTGATCTGTGTTTTATCTCATTATTGATTAGATTCATCATGTCTCCATGATAGATTTGCTTCTTTTTTCCCACTTCTATCATTTGGGGATTTGTTGTAGGAGGGACCCTTGTGATTTTTTGGATAGCCTTAGGTGGCACTGAAAGTCAAACTTTGAATGATTTATCAAATGATAAAATTAAATGCTTCCTGAACATGCACCATGGGTATCTGAGGGAGGAACAGTCACAGATGCATGGTCTTAAATTCAGCCACCTGATTCAAACAAGTCTTCCCTGCCACTTATCGAATAGGGGGGCGGGGTATCAAATTCAAGAAATCCTCCATTAGAAACTAGAGATGGTCTCCGGGTTTTCATTGCAGATACCTGTTATCTGCTGGCAGATACCTGCCAGTGGATGCGGGTTTGGGTGCGGACATACCATTTCCCCTGATTTTCTTCCAGCAGATACCTGGGTATCTCCACAGATACCCAAGGCCAATGGCCGGCTGGAAGGAAATGCTTCCAGCCGGCAAGAGTTACATGCACCTCACCGGCAACAACACCGGGCCAGCTACGCTAACCGTAGCGGTTAGCGCAGCGTAATGTAGTGGAATTCCACTCAACTTTAGCGTAGCATAGCAGAATTCTGCCACATCCATGCTAACGCTACGCGTGCAGGCCCTCAAAAAGGGCCCGCTATGCTGCGCTAACACGCTGGTTAGCGGTTTTTTGGCTGTGTAGCGGCAGTTAGTGTGGCCTTTCAGGCCTGAAGGGGGTTAAAAGGATTACTGTGGCAAGGCAGTCAAGTGGGGCAAATAGCAACACAAACTTGAATATCACTAGATTAGGTTATGGTTCATGTATCTAGCTCTATGTTGTATTGCTTGTTCTCTCTCTCTTTTTTCCTTTTTCTTCACTCATCTGTCTTGTCATTGCCTTCACACCTAACTAGGTACTTAGTCTTCTTCTCTCTCTCCATACACTCATGTTGGCCTCCTAGCTCACCGCTGCTGTCTGGTGTTTCTCAGGTTTGCATTTCTTCTCCTTTTCTTTTCCGTCTGCTTGTGTTTGGCCTTTCTGTTTTGTCTACTCATCTTTCTTGTCATTGCCTTCACACCTAACTAGGTGCTTAGTCTTCTTCTCTCTCTCCATCTGCTCACGTTGGCCTCCTAGCTCACCGCTTCTGTCTGGTGTTTCTGAGTTAGCAGCCCGTAGAGTCGTTAACCTTTTGCTAACACTGTGCGAATTGGGCGTGCAAAAAGGACCGCCACGCTAACGCTTTTTGGGCAAAAAGCATAGCCGCCCAGTGCTGCCAGCAAGGGTTGAGGTACATGTACCTCGCTGACTGCCAACTTGAAGGGTTTCTCCTTCCAGTTGGCAAGGTACATGTAAGGTACATGTACCTCGTTGACTGGAAGGATTTCTTTCCAGCCGGCAAGAGGTACATGCACCTAGCCGGTGAGGTACATGTACCTCGTGACTGCCAACTGGAAGGGTTTCTTCCAGCCAGCAAGGTACATGTACCTTGCTGACTGGAAGGAAACCTTTCCAGCCGGCAAGGTACATCCTTGCCAACTGGAAGGAACCCCTTCCAGCTGGTGCCTTACCAACCTTTTGAAGGGCAGGTATCCAAAGATACCCGCCAGTGGCTGCGGATGCGGGTTTGGATGGAAATTTACCCGGAAAAAGCAGCCAGATATCCGGATGCGCGGGGGCCATCTCTATTAGAAACCAGTCACTTTTCTAAAAAATGGAATTTTGCAGCCTCTCAAGGGGTTGAATAAAGAAGCAATAGGGGGTATCAAATATAAGAAATCCACAATTGGAAACCAATCACTTTTCCAAAAATAAAATTTTACATCAATGGGCTGCCAAAGGGGTTAAATGAAGAACCAAAATGTTTAAAAAATGGTGGATTTTTGCAAACCAGTCAATTAAATATTGGTGATTTGAATTTTGGTTGTATTTGATCATACCCCCTGATATGTTTGAAAAATGGTGAGTTTTTCCAAACCAGTCAATTAAATAATGGTGTATTTGGCTATATTTGATACCCCCTAGTATCAAGATGGTTGTGATTGAATAGTATAATATATCTCAATTCAGATTTACTGGACAGCTAATTCTCAAATCTTCACCATGTTTAACATGTATTTAACGGAGTGACAAGATCAAATACTTGCTCATGGGAGTCTAATAAGAATCAGTACTGCCAAAATGAAAGATTCAGCAATTACCAACTTGTAAGAAGCTGAAATTGTATGGGGGGGAATCAATTTTAAATCATCATGAATTGTTGGGTTTGTAAATGACTCAATTTTACAATTTGAGCACTCAAGCAGGGTCTTTAACAAGGACCAATTTTGAAATCTATAAAATGACTGATGAGATTACTGAAAGTCTTGTGTCTTGTTTATTCAATATCTTAAGCTCAAAAAACCTTAATCACAGAGCCATGCCAGTTTGGTTGCACACCAACAACAAATTGCCAGTGCTGACTGCCATTGGAATAAAATAAATGAAAAAGCCTCCTTCAGACTCATTGGGCACATGGTGGACCCCCCTGACTATTTAGTCTTTGTTTTGCTTTCTGTTTGGTAACTCCAGTAATGTGTGGTTTCATGAGTGCCAGTATTAAAATCCGCCATGTGATTGATAAGGCTTCTTAACATGTCTTTGCCTCTTGCCTATCCATTATCAAAATGGTCTTGTTTGAATAATATGTTTCAAAACAGTTTCAGCTGACAGTTGATTAGCCTCAAATTTTCTCAATGGTACATGTGTAACTGCATGCCAGTATTTTCTTCTTGCTCCTGAAATTTTACTTGATACTTTTCCTGTTGAAATAACATATTCATGATCATATTTTTATTGTCTGTATTGAACTGAAAATCAAATGTCAGCTCCTTGCCCCATGATACACTGTTTCATAAGAAAATTCTTGAAAAACTTGCATGTTTCATTCAATCCATAAATCAACAAAACCTAACACCATCTTGCACTTGTGGCTGAGCATTCTACCCTGTGCTTGTGATTTTAGTCAAAAAATCAGTTCATCAAGATGTGAGTCTTTGGTGCTTTCTTCAAGGTTTGATGTTTTTGACCCATTTCTGATGCATTGGAAGTACAATAATGTGGAGCAGCCACAGAAGCGAGTTAAACATCAACCCTTGTCTTCAATTTTATATCAAACAGGAATTTTCCATATTCCAGCTCTTAATTCATGTTATTGTGAGTTCCTAGATATATTTCATCCAATTAAACTTGGTCCAATTCTTGTGGACACTTACACTCCAGGCATGCTATTCATGTTGGAAATTTACACCACCCCAATTTTTGTCCTCCCATGATTTCACAACAGGTAATACTGTAGTCAGCTAGAAGAAAAAAATGAAGATCACTGGAATAACAACTGCGGCTACAATCTTGATTGGATTGAATTATTTCAAGGCTATATTTACACAGATGGTGATCCCTGAGGTGGACTGGGATGGGTCGCCTGAGTTCAAGGCAACAATTAAAGAATTGATCAACTCAGGCTCTTGGGGCAATTCACAAGAATACCATTTCCAGAACAACCCATCAACCATTGAATTTGCAGCTGGTGCAACGGTCTCACCTGGGCCCAATCCAAAACAAATTTCTATCACCAACAAAGGGAACCACAACTTAGAATACTTGATGAGAAGTCAGGATAGATCTAAGTACTTGACTTTTAAACTTGAACCCAACCACCAAGACTTAATTCCAGGGGATGCTGCCACTGTCTGGGTTAGGTTTTCGGAAGATGGTTAATAGTCTCTAGAAAGCCATATGAATTTGTTCCTGTGATGATTTTGAGACCATCTGTGTCCCTCAAAAATCTTTCTGATACTATCTTTCATCCCATGATGTTAAAAATCCCTTGCAGGAAAATTGGAAAATGTCTATTCAGTTCTATTGAATCTAACCATTCATTCATGCTTACCTTTTAGAAACTATATACAAGCATGTACCCAACTCAAACATAGCTTGTCTTTGTCCACCTGCAAGTAAAAAATACCTCACCTGTTTTGATTTGTCTTACCTTATTTCACTTGACTGGTCTCCATCACACATGCCTTTATTTCATAAAGCTTTTCTCATCCATGAAGCTTACAGCTTATAAGGTCCTATTGTCACTTATGTAGACTTGATGGGCACTGAATACAGAAATCCATATGATTTATTATAAATACATATCAATGATCAAATGATGGAATTCAAAGGTTTCTGAACCACTAACAAAATCTAAGGGAAAACCATTTTCAACTCATTCCTGCAGCTAATTGAATCAAGATTTGCTTTTTGAATGTTCATCTTTACACAAAAATTTATATTGTGTCTTCCAACCACCTTTATTTTTGTTCATCTGCTCAGATGCAACATAAGGTCAAGAAGGACAAGAAACTGGCCATGTTAACTTGATCAATCTTTTGAATCAAGCCAACACAATCAAATATAGCCAAATTCACCATTCATTAATTGACTGGTTTGGATTTGGAAAAATCCACTATTTTTTGAAAATGTTGGTTCTTTGTTTAATAACCCCTTTGGAAAATTAACCGGTTTCTAATAATTGATCTTTTATATTTGATACACCCTAATCACATTGTCAGGAGATATTATGATTTTGAAATTGGTTGTCAAGGTGGGATAGAATGATCATCTGGGATTCTCAAGATTTTTTTGGTTGCTGTTGGATTCAGCATTCTCAAATTGAAACATACACACAAGATCACAACAAGTCATCCTGAAAACAAGACAGTTCTTTCTATATATATGTGCCAAGTGATGAGTTATCCAACAATAGATATGAATCAAAAACTTCTTCCAATAAGCATCAAGTAGTCTGGCAGTAGTACATTCTTATGGAGGACTTGATACCATATTTGAACCACAAGAAAAATCTCCTCAAATAGGAAAAGGATTGGTTCATTGCACTAGTTACAGTACACCCTCAACCTAGCCAATATCACAGACTCATTTCTATAACATGGCCATAATGGATGATGTGGTGTTTGGATTTTGAGTACTGCACTAGGCAGTTCTTATCAGGACTATATAAAATTGACATTCATAAATCCATGTCAGACCATTGTATCATAATCTGGTAACTCCCAAAGATTATGTGCCACCCAAACATCAATCAAAACAGAGAACAAGTCACACAAATTTCCACAGAAAGTAGTTGATACCCAAAAGCTTTTGAATTCACAATGAGATGATTCATGGATTTATGGATTTCAATCGTGAAAGAGATATAAAACCCAGTTAGTATATTGTGTCCTGATCACACCCAACTGTCAACTGAAGAGCCAAATTACATATTCATTTAGACAGATTAAAACAAAACAGAAAAAAAACAAATAAATTAAACAATCTACAAACAAATTTGTCAGAATAAATCAAATCAAAACAAACAAAGACAAGACCACACTATGATTATGATTGTTACTTCTACTAACTACTAATTACTACTACTACCATTAAATAAGATCACAGACAGACACATTAGATTAGTTTGACTTGTCATGTGTATAGAAAAGAAAAAGAAAAAAAAACCTTGTAAACTATAAATCAGTATCAAACAAACTCTTCTTCTCTTTGTTTTCTAGTTAAATCCACTTTTTCTTCAAACCAATTCATACAACTTTTTTTGAACATCATCCCTCTGGTAAAGAAAAAGAAAAGGAAAAATAAATGCATCACAGTGATAACAAATAAGATATGTATAAAAAAAAGGAGAAATAAACAGAAGAGGGAAGATTTTACATTGGCTTTTGATGTCGTGTCTTGGCCAAGGAAGGGAAGGGGAAGGATGTTAAGAAAAAGAGGGAACTACAAAAAAACAATATCAGATTGGTCAGGTTCCGGTTCCCACTCGCCTTCTTCGAGTTCGTAATGAAGAAGCTGGGGGTTAGTCGGAGGAAGTTCTCGACAATTACTCTGAGTGATTTGTCCTTCTTCTTCGTCTTCTTCCGCTTCTTCCTGATCCTCATTGTTTTCTCCATTGTCTTCTTCTGTCTCGTCATATTCGCCTTCCTCTAGTTCGTCCGCTTCCACTCGATCGTCTTGTTGATCAATCACCTCTTCCACTCGAGTTGCCTTCTGTATCTCGTCCCGTCTTTCATCATCTCGCACATCCACCTCTTCATCCACCTCCTCGCCCTCCACCACCTCCTCCTCTTCCACATCTTCTTCTTCCTCCTCCTCTTCCTCCACATCCTCTTCTTCTTCTTCTTCCGCATCCTCTTCTTCATCCTCCTTAACATCTTCCTCCTCCTCCTCCTCCTCATCGTCTTCCTCCTCCTCCTCGTCTTCGTCTTCCTCTTCCTCTTCATTGTCACTTCCATGCATTAATAAGATCATCTCTCGGACCGATGGCGGCACTGTGACGCCTGGCTTCAATCGTCGGGTTGTCTTCTTCAGCGTCTCATCCAGGTCGGCCCAATTACTCTCATCCAAGGCGAACTTGCGATGTTTCCTGGTCAAGATATGCTGAGAAGAGAAACTTGTCCGTCAGACCTCCTCTCTCTCTCTGATCAATCCTCCCCCGCAGAGACCGGCTAGGAAAGCCTAATGGTCAAGGAGAAAAGCAAACTTACCTTTCGGAAATCCGAATATTTCAATCTACAGTTCTCGCAATAACCCGTCTTAGGTTCTTCATTCTTGGCAAGTCTTCTCAGATCGATTAATTCAAACCCGTTCCCAAGTTTGGCACGGACGCCCAATCCTCTCCTCTTTGACTTAGCCTTGGCGTCATCTGCGGCTTTCTTCTTGGCGATCATCGAAGAATCCAAAGACTGACATCTCTTCAACTTATTGATATGACTAGTCGGGTCGAGTTCTTTTCTGAGGGTCTGTAAACGGTCCTTGGAACTACCTGCCCCGATCTCTCGTTTGAGCGAGCTACTACCGATCCCAGGCGAGTTAAACTGATTGATTTCGAAGGTAGGACGTTTGCCAAGCGCCGCGAGTCGTTTATCAATGAGCTGTCTTCCGATCTGAGCCGTCCTGACCGCACTAGAACGTGTAGAGGTAGCCGATGCGACATTGGAGGTCATTGTGACGCTGTTACCGGACGCGGCGAGGAAGACCCGGCCGTTGCCGCGGAAATGCTCAGGTGCGGTCTTGTTGATGTGGTCGATCTCTCGACATTCATTTTCATCATCATCATCATCATCAGGGTCATGCTCAGTAGTCTCCTGATCGGGCTGATGAACCGTCGTGGTCCGCGATAAGCGTCCAGACTGGCGGCGTTGTAGCATGTTCATGCTGACGGCCCGACGTAGGTTTTGCTGTTTGGCGGGCGGGGATCGGTCGCCGGGCTGTCTGTGGGATGGGCCGAGACAGTCAAGGGAGTTGGAGCGTTCGCGTGTATTGTTCTTCTGCCGTGCCGAGTCCTTCACACGCATCTCAAACATCTGCCGGATCCTGTTGCGGACGTGGAGGTAGGATTGCTTTGCAGTATGACGCGAGAAGGCAGGCTTGCCCTCGGTACCTCCCCACATGATCGGCCAACTGGTGGCCTCACGAGTCTTGGGACGTGTGTACTCTTTGACGATGATCGGTTGTGCTCTTGAGTGATATCCTCGACCATGATGAACATCGCCTTGGGTCCGAAGTAGTAATAATCCGGACGTAGGGCGACTGGGTCGAATTCGTTGGTGTGTCCTTGTTGGGCTTCCTTGAGTAATAGAGAGGGTAAGGAGGGCTTGACCAACTGTTGCTGTTTGACGGGCGATCTTTGGTCTCCCAAACGATAGAGAACATTGAGTAATTCTAAGAAAGGGAGCAGGAGATTAATTCAGTGATCCAGAATGGGTTTGAAAAAAAAAAAAAAAAAAATCTCCCGAGTTGAGTGGACTAACTTTCAGATTTCCATATCTTAATTTTGAGCTCTGTAGCTTTACGAAGCAAAGGATATGCACAATGAGTTGATTCGGCTGAAGCCTCCTTCTCGGGGGAGCAGATGGCGCTGAGACGTTTTACGTTCCGACGAAGGCCGATAGCCGCCTGGCCGTTCTCCTTATTATTACGCGTAGGAGAGGGTAGACAGTATGCAGTGTTTCGTTTACGTGGTGATGGTGAGTGGGCTGAGAGGTTGGCTGGGGCTGGGAGATCGGTGATGAGGTGGGTGACCTCCTTTGAGAAGAATTGGTCGACACGCTGGAAAGAAGCCAAGAGGAGTTCAGATCAGAGTTTGTAGTTGTAGCGGGAGAGGATGAGAATGTTTTACTGACAGCACCCCATGCTCGTATCTTGAGTTTTAGATCTACGCTGGTGGATGGATCTAGTTGATGGAGGTAGAAGACAAAGCCTTTGATGGCGACCCTATACTTCTCTTGCCACTGGGCCATCTCGCGTTTGAGTTCATCCTTGTCCTTGATCGTCGGTTGTTGTTGTTGTTTCTCTCTTGGGGTTGGACGGGGGATGGTGTTTTGGTTGGTTGATAGGGCATTCTGGGGAGTAGGATGATGGTGGATGGTTTGGTTGTTATGAGTTTGTAGTCTGGCTGTTCTGAGTGTTGGTGATTGGTTGGATGGGTTGAGTAGGTCGAGTGGGGTATTGTTTGATTGGTTTGGATGAGGGAAGATGAGGCCTGAGAGTGATTTTTTGATGGTTGGACGTTGTGAGTGATTCTTGGTGTTTTCAGTTGTTTGTTGTTGGTGGTGGTGGTAGTAGTTTAGTGATGTTCTGGGTCGTTTTGATGCTGAGTTGTTGATGAGTGGGTCTAGTGGGATCCTGTGATGATGGTCATAGTTGTTGGTAGTGTTATGAGTTGGTCGTTTGCCATTAGGATTGAGCGTAGGAATCATTTGTTTGATTTTTTCGGATTATTATTATTATTTTGTTTGTTTGTTTGTTTGTTGTTGTTGTTGTTTTTTTTTTTTTTTGGTTTTGGCAAGAAGTTATAGGAGAAGTGCAAGAAAGGAGGACAGCTCAGGTGGTTTTTAGGCTGACTCTGTTTTTCCTTGGAGGACGACTGTGTCTCGAGTCCAACACCACCCCACTGTCACAGTGGGTTCACACTACCTGTCACATGACAGTCATGTGCATACATACTTCACAGTCCGAACAGACAGCGCTGATCATCTCCTCGAAAAATTGAAAGCTCAACATCTATACATAATCAATCCCAAGACATATAAAGCATATCACAAACAGTACATATCAACCAAGAAGCCTCATAAACAACCTATATAGGCGGTGGTTGAGTCTATGCACCTGGAAATAAATCATCACTTCTATGTTTCAGTAGTACTACGAAGAAACCGTACAGCAATCTGCATTCTAATAAGAGATTGATCTGAAAGGGAATTATTTACATCTGTAAAATCTTCTGATGGTTCACACACAAGTTAAGGTTTTCTTCCCCCTTTGACAAAAGGAAGGAGATGAAAAAAAGACGTCAAAAGGAACTGAACTTGGGGATAAAGATGTGTGGATGATTCTATAAATTTTATCTTATACTTTCGTATTAATATCTTTTCCGACAAAACAAAAGAAACAAGAATATAGGGAGGACAGGGGGGAAAAAATAACAACACATGAGAGAAATTGGATAAAATTAGGTAACAACGAATACTCTGTCGAGTTTTGATTAACCTTCTACCTTGACGATCGGAGGGATTCCCATAGCGATCTTACGTGCTTGTCCAGCCAAATCATCCGAGAGTCCGAGCCCATCTTCGATTACGATCTCTTGCCATGTCAAGCCTTCGTAGAGATACAGGAGACCGAAGATCAAGAATAAGATTGCTCCCCCCAGAGTGACTATCAGAAGAGAGACAAACAAAAAAAAAAAACTAAGTTTGGCTGATTTTTGGATCGAATGAAAAAAAAAAGCTGACTGACCGTATTTTACTGAGATTTTTGTAGCTAACCATCGACCTCCCATGACGGCGAAGAATGTACAGATTGCATGACCAAGAACAGTTCCCAGTGAGACGATGTAAACATTCTATGAGGAGGAGAAAGCGTTGGAGAGGAATTAGAGATCAATGGATGATGGTTGAGATTGGGAAATGTTATGGCAAGGGAAGGAGAAAAAAAAAGGGGGGGTTCGACTAAACATGAGCAGCAGCTAAGGCGATCGTTGAGATTTGACTACGATCTCCCCATTCGGCTAGGAAAGTCATGATGAAGGTTTGGATGAGGACGGGTGAGATGAGTAGATAGACGAGGTTCTTGAGTCCATTCTGTTTCTCTTGCGAGCGAGATCGTTTGAAGGAAGCCTTATTTCCGGTGAGCTGGCGTGAACGAGCCGTAGGACGTGCTTCCTCCAGTCGAGTATGTTCTGGTTCGAGATCCTCGCCCTTCTCCCTAATCTCGTGTTCCAATTCTTCGATCTCCTCCTGCACCTTTCCCGTCCCGCCCTCCATCTCCATCCCTTCCCGAACCATCTTGAGACCAAAGACTAGAAAGAGTGCCGATGCAGCCAGGACGGTATACCGACGTGAGATCAGTGTGGGCAAGACGTGTCCCAATCCAGCCGAGAGGACCGACATGACCAGGAGGGCTAGGAATGCACCGGTGAAGACGATCAGTCGTGGGTGCTGCATCGCTAGTAAGGCAGCGAGTAGGAAAGTTTTGTCTCCGATCTCTGAGACGATGATCATAGCTGGTCATTGGAAAGAAAGATTCAGATAAGAAATCAGTCTACTGGTCAGGTCCAAGGGATCTGAAGGATGACTTTACCAATGGCTCTATCCAGACCAGCCAGCGAAGGGAAGAGGACCGGTTGAGGTGGTAGGACGGTAGTCGTTGTGCTCATGGTGAGGATCGATATTGGAATGTAGTGACATAGAATTCGAGCTTGCTTGCTTGTTGTTGTCTCGTTGTTGTCTGCATTCAAACTTGTGGACTCCGACACTCTCAGTCTCAGCATCAAAAATTAAAATCAATGAAAAAGACCGAGTTTCTGACAATGCCCAATACTCACTACAAAACTACAAACCCTGCATACATAGGAAACCTTAAAAAAACCACCAACAAGTCAAGATGATAGCCATCAAACAAGCAAACACTGAATTCAACCCACAGGAACAACTACTCAAACGAAAACACATTCAAGAATCAGCCCAACTGATTTCCAAGAATCCATTCCCTTCACTTTCCACATACTTCACTCTAATCAGCCGACAACAACAAGCCCAAACAGCTATCAACCAAGCCACTCTCACTGATCGCCATCAACATCATCATCATCAATTCATTCACACTAGGATCAGATGGTGTGACAGATGTCTGGCCTCTTGCTCGATCAGCGTCAAGATGAAAACTCACCAAGTCCTACTCACCTGTCAAAGACCGACTTGTCGAAAACGGTTCATCCAACCTCTGTCAACTTGGTCGAGGTTGGTCATCCCTCTATATTAAAAAAGGATCGAATGATTACTAATTGATAACATCATATCTGAAAACAACTGCAATCAACCAGGGTCGACCAACCATCTGAAAGCCTGATAAAGGAACAGCCACCACCGACCAATAAGAAACTGAAAACGGAGACAGAAACCAGTCATCCTCCCCAACCAACAACGGGAAATTCCACCTCACTAGAGAAGACCAAATCGTCCTCCTCCAAAAAATCCAAGAATCGTCCTTCTCGATCAGCCTTGAACGATCTTCTGGCTCGTCGGAAACAGGCAGATGAGCAGGCGAGCTCTAAGAATAACTTACAAAACTTTTTGACTCAGTTGTAAATGAGACCTCTTTAATCAACCTGACAAAATCAATTTGTCTGGTCTGCCACACCGATCAATTCCAAGGTTCAAATTTTCTTCTTTGAATTGGCGTGATTGAACATGCTTATATGCTAGGCATGTAGGAGAACGCTGCCTTGGAAGACTCAACATAATGTTAATCATCATTTGAGCATCAATAAGCAGAGAAAATGGCAACTAGGACATTGACAAAAGTCCAGAGTTAGGTGAAGTTGATGTCCAGTGCTATATTCAAGAATTAGATTGGAAAATTCTCAGTCAATCAATCCCAATTTGTTGAGTATCTAATCTCTTGAAAAAAAAGAGGTACTGGACCCTGGTCAAATGTCAATGGAACCAGGGCCAGGAATCAAACAGTTGGCCAGTTCTATCCAGTTTTGTATACCCAAAAATGGGATCTCAAGGGATCTTTGATAACTATTTACCCATGTGTAGAGAAACACAAATCAACTTCATTCCTCTTGTATTGATGTTGGCAGCCCATTTAAACTAGAACACACACAAATGTTTGGCCAAAAACAGGTTGATCAAGTTCACTGGGCCAGCCCAAAAGTAGTCTGCTTGGCCAAGCCTAAAATGTGCACCTTACCCTCCCAACCCCTGCTTGGCACATTGCAAAGTTTTTGGGGGTTGGTACAAAGGCTCCTATACTGATGGTTTTTACTTGTCCTGACCATCAAAGGGAGATTATTCCTTATAGGGATTCTTCCATATCTGTTTCTACTTATATTACTGCCCATAGAGTGTTATATGTATGGGCAGATTCTAGAAATGGAAGTATTTATCTGAACCAGATGAGTGATTTCAAGGCTCAGGAATACACAAATAAGGCTTACTTCAGCTTCCTGAAGATATTTAAGTAAGGAAATTCAAATATCTGACTGAAAGTCAGATTGACTAATTAAGAAACAGGCTATGACAAAAAAAAAGAACAGGCAGTAAGCCCAGATCACTTGTTTCTGAGTTGAAGGTGCCAAGTGATATGGGGGACAAAAACTCAATATCTCTTAGCCCATAAAAATCTGTTATACATTTGGGGCTTCTGCATATGAGTTGCTTGTAAGAAGTGCCACACAATACTTTTCAAAAGATATACAGGGACATCCCTTTTGAAATTTAATTCCATATGTTTTCACATCTTGTTTTCCCAACTTCTCACTTGCCATATATGCCTCTCCTTTCCTAGCTCATGATCAGTATTAACTGTGTCTGGTGTTTTTTTCTCACAGATACCTAAAACATTTTTATACATGCCACCAGAGCCTGTTTTAATGATATACACTTGGCCCAGATAAGTTTCCAAAATTCACATTTGCATGATGGCCATGAAGCTAAATCATGAGTTTAAATTTTCACAAGCACTAAAATTAGGTTTCACATCCACATGTGGCACAGTCCCAAGCACAGGCAATACATACCAATAAACACATATGCTCTTATGTTTCTTCGTATGATGAGTGCATTAGCCTTCCCAATACAATCTTTTCCAGTATTGTTCAATTTGTAAATCATCTGACACAGCTTACATGACACATAATTTATCACACTTTCCAAATGATGTGATGCAATTCAATGTGTGGGCCACCACATTTGATGTTATACAGATGCATGCATTGCATCATTACAGAATGATGTCATGCAATTCAATGTGCTGGCCACCACATTTGATGTTATACAGATGCATGCATTGCATCATTACAGTATTTAAAAAAATGTATATGGTATTCTTGTTGATTATTTGCCACAATTGTTTTTCCTCACCCAGCCAAAGCTTAATGAAATTTGATGTTTTATGGCATCCAACTTAGATCTGCAATGTTGAAAATTCATGCAGCCCAATATCCAAATGACATCATGATAGTCACCAACGCCAATTCATGCAGCCCAATATCCAAATGACATCATGATAGTCACCAATGCCAATCTCTCATCCTAAACTTTAACAATTGAATTTTGGTGTAAATTGAACCCAGAAGTCAAAATCAACCAATGATTTCAGGGAAAATGTACCCCTCAACATGCTTGAAATGCCATCAATTTAGGGAATGATGTGGAATTGGAGGGGGGGGGGGCAATGAGGATTTTGGGTCAGACCAGGGTTTTCTCATGAATAGCTGCAGTAAATTCACAGTTGGAAAGATGTTCCAACTTGAGAAGTAAATTTTGGCTGGCTTTGGCAGATTGAGCTGTGGAACTTTCTTAACAACAATGCCTCCATTTTCCAAAACTCTGTTTGAATTTTTTGAAAAATACAATTGCCCTTAAGAAGAAGCTCACACATGTGGTCAACCCATGCATTAAAGATCTAATTCTTGAATATATAGCTAAGCATCAAGACTGGGTTATCAAAATCATTTTCACATGATGATTCCTGATAGGACATAGGTCTCCGCTAAGGCCTCAGACAAAGAAAACTTCTTCACGGTTAATCTTTCAAAGTTCCTCACATTTCTGTAGAAAATACTCAACAGGAATGCCACCATCTTCCAAAACTTTTGTGCAAAGTTTTTGAAGGATTGAAATGAAATGAAGAAGGCCACATGATCTTAAAATGTATTGGATTATGAATGGATAGCTAATCATCAAGGTTGTTTTTTGAGCACTCAAAGTTGAGTGCCACCCAAACTCCCAATATTGTCACATGAGGATTGCTGATATGACATAAATCTCTCTTCTAAGGCCTCAGGAAAGAAGAAGTTGGTTAAGTTTATTTTTGTGCAGTGTCTCATATTAAAATGCGGGGCAGTATTCAGTTCTCTGTGACCATGTCATATTGTTTTGGAATGAAGCGTTTTAAGAAGCTAATTGAATGATTTATCTGGTTTATAAATCAAACAAAACATCACTCTGAGTCTTAGATCTTATCATTCTGAATTGAAGATTTTCTTGTCATCTGGTTCAGCTTGCCTCTGATTTAAATCAGATTAGTAAATACCAAGTAAGTCTTTGAAACTTTGGTCATGCTTTGATTTCTTAATTTGTGTGCCAGATCTGACACCTTGAATATGTCTGATATAATAATGCCAACTTGTTTTCAAAAAATTAGACACCAATTGGGTGTTTGAATCCTGCAAGCTGAAAGAGAAACTCCTGGTATTTATGTTGCTCAACACCTTTCTACCAAACCTCTGCCTTGCATATTAGTGTGTCCCGATATCTCTTCGATCCACCTGTGCTTTGTGCCAATCCATGTGCACGCTTCTAGAGTTGGGCCCTGATTTTTATATATTTTACATCAAGATTTCTTTTCTCCAAGAATTTCCTGTGGAAGCCAGATAGGAACCATGAATTTCAACATAGTCATAATCATGGCTGTGATCTTTAGAGGCTTTATGTTTATCAAGACTCATGGACCTCAAGAGATCTTGCTATTTGACATGAGCGATTGGAACGACACACCCGCCATGAAGGAAAGTGTTCGACGAGAGCTGAGCGAAAATTGTTGGACCGATGCAGAAGAATCTCATCGCGGGGAGAAGCCGTTGGTTGATTACAAAAACTGGGGTTTGAGGGTCAATTACAGCGGCAAACACGATGTAGCTTACATTACCAACTATGGGGATAGTGAGTTGCAATACTTATTGCGAGACGGACAAGCAGGACGGTTCTTGAGGTATACAATCAAGCCAAACCAGCAACACAGAATCCCATACGAAGCAGGCCACTGGCTCATGACCTGGATTTGGAACCCTCCCCGTAGCTAGTGTCGCTTCAATCCCCCCTCATGCATGTTGGAGAAGTGATTGGATGTCAAAAATGCACAAAATCTTCACTCGCATTTCTCTCATCCATCCTTGCATTCATGTTTAATGCACAATAGAGAAGTTATGTACAGATCTCAAAAAGTCATAAACTTAGGCCACCCACAAGCATCAAAAACTTGACCTGTTTTCATGTTTTTATGTCATTTCATTCATCAGTGCTTGAGAAAAAAGGCGCAGGATTAGTTAACCTCAGTCCATTGGGATAAATTGTTACGACCGCTGCTGGCGTAGAGTCAGGCCTTGTAAGTTGTGAAAGCACTAGTGAGAAACCTGATATACAATAAGGACAACAGCACAGAATGGTGAAATTATGTATGTCGTTGCTGTTTGTTGGGAAATGATCAAAGTGGAATCTCTACCGGGATTTATGAGTTTTATATACATACTTTATACTACCATCAAAGTTACAACAGTCCAAGCATGCAATGCAATAAAGGGTCAATACGAACACGGAGCACTCTTGATGGCCTCACTCAATTTTGTATGACTAGCTGCGTGAAGATGTTTGTTGATTATCTATGTTTCTTTCGTCTTTTGCTTGCCTTTCTTTGATATGAGCATGGCTCCCAATATACATAAGGAGGAACAAATGATTAAAGCGGAAAAGGAGACAATTGCCAGCAATCTTCAGTTTCTCGACCTTTGTCGACGGTTCGCCCTCCTGGATCATAGCGGAACCCAGCTCGCCATTCGATTTTTTCCACAGTTCGCACCAAACTACGCATATGTCAATATCCATTTCCTCTTACACTACGGGGGCACTTTTAAGGTTTGGGTTCGCAAAAGTTGCGAAATATAAGAACTTCGCAAGCTTGACGAAGCGTTCGCAAAAACTTTCGCAACTTTTGCAAAAGTTTCGTAAAAAAGGCGAAACAAGCTGCGAAAGCAGCTTGTTAAGGTTTTGATCTGGAACAACTCCGGTTTTTTATGCGGATTGTGCCGGATCAAAACCTTGAGGTTTGCTTTCGCAATAATCTTCGAAAGATGTCGCGCAAGTTTGGTCGGATTGCGCAAATCTTTCGCAACTCTTGTCGCAGAGTTCTTTCGATGGATGCCAAAACCATTTGGGCTCTGGGACTCGGAGGAAAACACCTCAAACAGTCCGCAGCACCCATGTTTGACCCCGACTCCATCGGAAATTCAACTCAGGATACAAAGTTCACCCCATCCCCCCCTGTTTCATGCCCAAACCTCACTCAATCCGGATTCCCTCCTGTCTCAAATCATTCATCTCATCGGAATCGGAATCCCCCCCCCCCCAAAAAAAACAAAAACACTTCCACCCACCCAAAATAATTCAAGGTGAGGCCCTTTTTCAAATGATTGCCCCAACTTTACTTCATCGTTCTTCGAAGTCCAAACTAGTGATCAAAGCTACAGCAAAAGGAAAGGCAAGGAACCCATCAACTCCCATCAAGTCGTTCAGGATCCGCAAAGCCATTTTCATTTATCTTAATTTTTTTCTTGTTTCGCACTTCTGTCGATCCTTTCCTTTTCCCTCAATGATTGTATAAGACATCAATAAGAAGAATCTCCCTCTGTCTCATTGCTCTCCATCTATAATTTATCTTGTCCTTATTTTTATTTATTCTTATGTTATTCATTGTTTCTTGTTTTCCTTTGATTCCTCTCAATCTCATCTCTTCCTCCTTTATCAACCTGTTTCCTCAGCCAATGTTTCATTGATCGGATGCAAGATGTTGTTTTCTTTCATTTCATTTACTTTTCTTTTGATCGATCGATGTGATTAAAGAAATACAAACCTTTTTTATTTTCTTTCTTTATAATAAGTACCAGCGAGATGAAAAACAAAGGAAAGGCATTGTAATGATTCCAGTGTTACGAAACTTATTACGAAACACTTGCGAAACTATTTCGCAATCATAGTGAAAATGAGATTCGCAATAAATGCGAAACTTTGGGATTGCGGAATTTATTGCGCAATCCTTCCGAAAGTATTTCGCAAGTCTTGCGCAAAGCCTTCGGAATCCCTTTTGCAAGGGACGCAAGACTTTCGCAATCCTTTTCGCATGAGATTGCGTAACTCACCAGGACCAAGGTCGGCGACGTCCTCCCCTGCAGGCGGAGGCTGCGCAACTATTCCGAAACAATTTCGCAATAATTGCGAAATGCAGCGCCCGTAGTGTAGTCAAACGTTGCTCTGCGCCGGTCCTCCCGAAATGAAAGCTTGAGTTTCTACTAAATTGACAGGAAACATGGAGTGAATGTGGGCAAGCTCCTCCGAAAGGCTACTCAGGAAACATGGTCTCAGTTGTCCATCTCTCACTTGGCTGATGAGGTTGCAACAAGTCTGGCCTGTCTTAAACCGACATCATGCCAAGCTCTGCGGCGCGGAATCGCAGAGCAATGGTTAATAGATCACCCCCATTATAAAGCGTGATCACTGCCTAATACCTCGGCCCCCAAATATGGCGCAGGGCAAGGATGCATCTGTTTGAATTTCTATTAGGAGTCTGCTATTGATCCGTCTCTTTCTGGGGCGTCTTAATATGAGCTGCGGGTCAATATTCAGGTCTCAGGCCATGATACTTTTGTTTTGAAATGAAGAGTTTTGAGAGGCTCTTGATATTGTTGATCTGGTATATAAATTAACCCCTACCCTCGCTCTTGAGACTGTTACATAGCATTCCAGAGTGGAGCTTTTCTTGTCATTTAGACCAGTGTGCCTCTGTTTTAAATCAAATTAGTCATTACAAAGTAAGTCTTTGATGCTTTGGTTAGGGTTTGATTTTTTGATCTGACGTCTTCTATACATCTGATATGATAACCACACACTAATAAGCTTAAACAGAAACTCTCCATATTTCGTTCGTCAAATACTTTTCTATCAACCCTCTTCCTCGCATATATCAGTGTGTCCCCAGATCTTTTTGATCCACCTGTGGTTTATACCAATCCATGTAAATATGTACACCCTTCTAGAGTCGGGCGTTGACTTTTACACTCATTGACATCACGTCTTTTTTCTCCCTATATTGATGTCACCTGGTAGTCAGATAGCAACAATGAAGCTCAACAGAATTTCACTCATGGCTGGGATCTTTAACGGCTGGTTGTTTATCCAGACTCATGGAGCTCCACAGGTCACCATATTTGACTTGGAGGATTGGGACAGCACGCCCGAAATGAAGGAAACAGTGAAACAGGAGCTAAGGGACAATCGTTGGACCGATGCAACCGAATCTCATTGCACGAAGAAATCGACGATTGATCTCGCACACAGGCGTTTGAAGATCGATTACAGCCCCAGGGAACATGCAGTTTGCATCACCAACTATAACAATGAGGGTGGCCCATCATTGCACTACTTACTACGAGATGGCCAAGCAGAGCGGTTCTTTAGGCACACAATCAGTCCAAACGAGGAACATATAATCCCATTTGAAGAAGGTCACTGGCTCATGACCTGGATTAGGAACTAACGGTGCTATCTGAGCCATGTCCCTCCTCATACTTGTTGGAGAGGTGATTCAGTAGAGGTCAAAAAATCATAGAATCGTTACCCGCATTTTTCCAAAAAAATGTATTCAAACATCTTTACAATCCAAGAAATCATACATACATGTTAATATTGTTAGGTAGATCCCAAATAAGTTTAGACTTGCTTTAGATCCCAGTAGCAAAAATTTGACCTGTTTTGATGTTTTCCCCTGAGTGAACAAGCTGCCTCCAAAATGAGCGCTTCGATGATCAGGTTCTTTGTCAATGGGTACAGTGGGTGGACCGTTATTTTTGGCTGCTTGATTTGGGTTCTACAGCTTCAAAGCACAAACTCCAAGTCACAAGACTTGGTGAATTGGTACAGAATAGGTCCCAAAGAATGAATATGAAAAAATAAAAACAAAAAATAAAGTTTCAAAATTTGTGAAAAATAAAAAATAAAAATGTTTTTTTCCAAAAGCTTTGTTATTGATTTTGATGGAGTGGGAGTGCTGAGAGAAATCAAGAGTGGAACATGGGAAGAATGATTATAAATGAAAAAAATTGGAACCAAAAAAGGTTTGGCCAGGTTGGTTGTCCAGATTGCAGCCAAAACAGTAAATTCTAGTGCTTTACTGCAATGTGGGCTGGTGAATGCCCCAATCAACAGCTCTTTGAAGCCATCTGGAAAGCAAATTTTCCAAAATTTTCATTCATAATCATTTTTCTAATATCCCAATCTTCCTTTCTCTCAGCACTCTCAATCCCCAAAAAAGAATTTCAAAGCTTTTGAGAAAAATAAATTTTATTTTTTATTTTTCACAAATTTTGAAACTTTGTTTTTTGTTTTTATTTTTTCATATTCATTCTCCAGGACCTATTCTGCACCACTTCACCAATTCTTGTGACTTGAAGTTTGTGCTTTCAAGCTGTAGAATCCAAAACAAGCAGCCAAAAATAACGGTCCACCCACTGTACATGAGGCAGAGCCCGAGCCCCATTCAATCTCAGCATTGAGAGAGCTTTCCATCCTTCCTTTCCTGAGCCCATTTTTCACGTGGATTCAGTTCGACATGGTAATTCTCCTTTGCCAACTTTTCGCTGAGTATTCCATAGCCCTTGCTAATCGCTAAGATTGTGTCACTTTCGACCGATGGCTCTGGTTCCTTGAACCCCGTCTGCAGTATGAGGAGTCGTCTCGCAATTTCCATCTGAAGTATGCTCGACGAGCCAAATGGTTGCTGTTTGTTGGGAAAGCATCCATGTGGAATTTCTCAGTGGGATTTATAAGTTTTACACTCTATAGACCTTGGATAAATTCAGATTGGTTTTATTTTTTTACAATTTGCAGTTTGGACTACGATCCATCAGTCCAAGCATTCACTAATGGGCCGATACAGTTCCAAAACAAGCACACATCAGTCTCGATAGCCTTAATTTGTCAATCGGCTGCATGGCAACGTGTATGAATGTTTGAAGGGCCAAAAATAGAAATTGAGATGCTATTTAATCATTCATTTAATCGTATAATTGTGTTTTTTCATTTGTTATTTGTTTTTCTTTGACATGGACATATACAGAAGGACCAACAAATGAGGAAAACGGGAAAGGAGGGAACCACCAGCTAAAATTTGCATTTTGCCTTTTTTTGTGTGTTTGGGTTCTGAGATGAAGAAGAATGTATAACACGTGGAACTGATTAAGTGGTATGTTAATGGAAACTTGTGTGAAGAATATGGAATAGAAGTCAAGTGACAAGTTTGACTTGAATGTTTACGCATCTCCGCCAGTAGCCGCTTCTTCAAAGTCATCGAATCCGTGCTCTGGAGATAAACCCGGTCAACAGAAAAGAACAAGGGCAATCCACTCGAAATTGATTAGCTCTCCTGGTCTAAGACGAATGGATGGACAGATCGTTGCAGAGGGGTTTGGACGAGGGGGATGACTTACCGATCAAGTAATTCGCGGCCATCTCTTCATTCTTATCACACGCAAAATACGCCTGGACGACCAATTGTCGCTCAAAGCCTAGACCAACCAATCGCTCGATCGCATCCCGCTCCTCTTGACTGACCTGGACGTATTGGGTTTGGTCCTCTGGTCCCCCAGCTCCAGCACCCCCCATCATCCCAGGTGGTAATGATGGATCGTCGTCTAGCCCTTCGGCCCCCTCGGCCAAGAAAGACATCAGTAGGGTCGGGTTAGAGGTGAGTTGGGTGAGGAGGTTTGGATTGCTCTGGCCAAGTTGCTGTAAGAACGGCTGCAAGAGATTGGGATTCTGTTGAACAAGCTGTCGAAGTTGTATCATCTGAGGGTTGTTCCGTAGTGCTTCGAGTGCACGACTGGTAGGGATCGATTGAGCCCCAGCTTGAGCAGGTTCTGCTGTCGGAAGGGCTGCTTCACCTGGTTGCCTTTGTTGAGCAACATGCTCTGCAGCAGCTTCGAATAGGTTACGCGAGCCCGCTGCGGGGGCAGCAGCAGCGGATGGAGTCGTAGCAGATGGGTTCACTGTTGACGGGGCATTGGTTGGCAGTGTAACTGGAGCTGCAGGCGCATCTAAGCCTGCTGGAATACCCTGCGAAAGAAGATGAGGATACGTTCAGTAAGGTTTGTGTTGCATCAGAGAAGAAAAAAAAACGATTCTAGGGGACAAATGAGTGGGTCAAGTACGGTCATCAGATATTCGACTGCCCGATCGGGGTTGTTGAATGCAGCACGCATCGCCTTCGTGACTTGCTCTCTCGGGAATCCCATGCCGTTGACGATTTCGTCGATCGTCTTTTGTAGGTTTGAACCGACCAAAAATCCGGGGTCTTGGGTGCCACTAGCGGGAGTAGCAGCGCTAGCATTATCAGCATCGGTTGAGGCGGGGGCAGTAGTTGAGGAAGGTGTGGCGGTAGCGGGTTGAGCAGCAGCTGGTGTAGGTGCGGTGGCGCTGGTGGAAGCAGCTGCTCCAGCTCCACTCGGGACGCTTGCGGGGGCAGGAACAGTCGGGGCGGTCTTGGGCTAGATAAGAGTCTCAGTGAACCATGTAGATTTTTATCTGAGGAGGAAGAGAATGTTTGGCTTACTTTGATCAACATGACAACAAAGAAGTCTTTCTCCTTGACGCCGATTTGCTCGATCGTCTTATCATCTGCCAAGACCTTCCCACTGAAGATCAACTTCTGCTGTTCAGGTTCGAAACCTTGAGATTCTTTGATTAGACTCTTCAGTTTCTCGACCGTTGTCGATGGCTCGACATCCAGGACAAACTGTTGCTTCTGGAGGGTTTCTATCATGAATCAAATCGATACCAGCTGGGTTAGCTACTTTTGTTTTTCAGTCGCGAAATGTCTTTTTTTTTTTTTTTAAATATAGAGGGAGGTCAGACTAACTGAATGTGAGTTTCATGATGAGGAGGATCGAGGCTCGTGGGGTTGGTATCCCTTCTTGTTATTCTTTCGTGATCAGTTCCTTTTGTTGTTGGGGTTCACAGCAGAGGCGAAAGGATATGGATGTTGAATGTTGGAGGAAGGTGGTGGTGGGTGATAGCTGTCACAGGCTCAACTGAGTATGTAATCGTCATCACACTGGTTCCAATGGGATGTCACAGTATTCCGATCGACTGAACCACTTCACAACCGAAAACAGGGGACAGCCAAATTTCTATCGGGTTCATTTAAATACTTTTCTCTGCGCTCCTTTATATTTTAGAAAGGTCTGCCTTACAATCTTTGACATCTCTCCTCATAAAGCTCATCCGATGCACGTCTAAGTGATCAATGTATTTTGTAACCGAGTTCCAAGACCAAATCGAATATTCTCGTGACCAAACTATCCCTGTGTCCAGCGTATCGCTCAAATGGTTTTGACTGTCTCTTAAAATAATCACCAAAGCCTCTTTTCATCATCTGTTGACCTTAGAATATCCAAGAATACTTCAAAATATTGGATCTGTTTAGGACTTGAGACCTCACAAGAGGCATGGACAACATGACGGATTGTTAACATCAGGAGAGTCCATTTTTTGGGCGCCAAGTCAAAAGGTAGATAGATCCCAGGACCTAATGAGATAACATCCTACAGCAATTCCTTGCGGCGTTCAAGAGTAATACATTTCGCTAAGCATTAGGGTGGTTATTAAACTTGACCCATCAGTTTTTTTTCCCCTGCTAATTACAATATTGGATCGTTTGTCTGAACCCAGCGATAGTCTGGCCTTTGGCTGTTGTTTTGAATGGATTCAAGGGAGAGAAGATAAAAGAAACATCCCGATTGAGTCTCTTCACGACCCCGCAAACACCATTCATGCCAATGCTGCTTCGTTTGCCGCTTCCACTTCTCGCATCTGAAAAAATAAATAAATGGAAAGTGAGATGAGGTAGGGCAAGGTTTCATTGAAATGGATCGCTTACCGTTATCTCGGCTTTCATGTCTTCAACTTCGACCAGAAGCAGAGCCTTGGCATCTACAAGTTCCTGAAAAACGGGACAACAAATTCTGTCAATGAGAGCTACGCAGACATAAAGATAAGGTAAGTCTGCAGAAAGGCAAACTTTGTAAGTATCTTGCCCTTCTCTACCCCTGCGAGTCAACGTTTGAACCTCTTCTTCCAACTTCTCCAGTCGTCTTCTTGCCGCGCCCTGTTCATTGATCTCGAGTCTTTCAAAACTGGCAAGCTCGATTTGGTAGCGATCCAACTCGGCCACCCTGGATCGCAATTTCTCACTCAGTCCCTTCGACCGAGCCTGATAGCCACCCACCAGCTTGGTTAACTTCTTCTCCGCCTTGTTACAGGCGTTCGCATCTTTAATCATGTTCGTCCGCCCCTCATCGATCATGTACTTCAACCCACCAATCTTCTGATTCTCGTCCAGCGTCGAGGACTCCACCCAGCTCAGCGTGCGTACATCAAAGGCATACTTCTTCGAACAATCTTCCCAAGTCCGTTTGAAGAGCTCTTCTTCCGCCAAGACGGCGACTCGTCTGATTTGGTCGGCGTTCGCGCCGGGGAAACCGCAGCTGTTGGCCATCTCCAAATGTACCATCTCTTTGGCTTTGGCAATCGCCTCATCTTCTATCGGGGCTAAATCAGATCGTCCCCCTCCAGGTATCTTCCCACCTGCGATTGGATAGACCACTGCATCGTGTGATAACAGCTGTATCATTTCGTCCATTATCTGACGCTCGAGATCGTCTTCTGGTTTACTTGAGCCTTGATCCAAACTCCTCCTCAGGCGTTCTTCATTCAACTCGACCGGTCGTGGAAGGCCCCGTTGAATGGCCTGGGACCGTCTCGCAAGCGCTTTCTGTTCTTCGGCAGCCTGGACTGCTTGCATTTTCGCCTTACGATCAGCCGCATCTTCGATCATTGATCCCGCTTCATCCACCAGTTCCGCGATGCGCTCTTGCTCCTCTTCGGGTAGGACAAGTTCGTAATCGTTCTTCGGCTTCGGGAGCGCCATGAATCCTTGTCTCAATTGTTGTTTGACGTCCATATTACGGGCGCGGGGTGTGTCGCCCACAATCGATCGATCATCACCTGCGGTGATATTGAGGGTATTACGGGTCGTGGGAGTCCTCATGGGTGTGCCATCAACACTGACGCTATCGCCACCAGGTGTAGCGCTGGGATCGCGACCATTTTTGTGCAAAGGCGTCGCGAGTGGGTTTGGAGTTGCAGTAACAACTCGCGAAGGTGTGGCACCATCAAAACCTGTGCCCCGCCCTACCAGCTCATGCAATGGAGTGTTTGCTTCACCGAGTAAGGGAGTTTGAGCCATCGTCATGTTGCGAAGGTTTCTGGCTTCAGCCATGATATTGTCGGCTTGAGCCGGAGTGCGTGGTGTCCGGGCGGTTTGAGCATGTTGAAGGGTCGAATACTCTCCCAGTAAGCCTTGGCTGGCGCCTTCGCCACCGTCTTCCACCAAGCTTTTAGCTGTTTCACCAGCCTGGCCGATCTTGACAATATCTTCAAGCTCGGAGTCTCCAACTTGAGGTTCAGGTAAAACCAACGCGCGTCGTTTGAGAATATTGGCTTCTTCCTTTTGGCGCTGGATCAGATTATCCTTGGCGGGTACAAAATGAGCAGAGGCATCTTTATCAGCTGCCATCTCCTTGGCCTTTCTTGCTCGTTTTCGTCGCTCTTCCTCGTCCTCCGCACGGGTACGCTTGTGCGAGTCGAGCTGTCGAAGGTTCTTCCCAACCGGCGCAGCAGTAAACTTGTTCTTCTCTTGCGTCGTGTCATAAAATCCGGGTGCAGGTTGTTTTTCGAATGGAATATCAGCATTGTAATCCATCCCATCTTTCTTGGGTCTCATTCGCATTCTGAAAGATAGAAGGAGAATCAGGAGCCTGATCTTTTGCTAATCACTAAATTATAAGAGCAAAATGTTTTCGTACACAATCCCAGCAGCTTTCAGTTCACGTTTCTTTTGCAGCATGGCCAATCGCCTAGCTTCTTCCAATTGTCGCTCACGTGCCTTCCGCTTCGCCTTTTTACCTTGGGTATTCGCCAGCCTAGCACGTGCCTCAGATAACATCTCCTTTTCTGTAATGATCGAAGGACCAAACAACATTAGTTATGAGTGAGGCAACGGACGACAGGATTTATTTTCGCAAGGTACGAACCATCTTCGTCCATATCGATCGGATCAGGTCTTGCTGGTTTAGCCTCCGGATCAGGATCCACTTCACCAGGCCGTAGCCTTCGGACATCATCAGCACTCGGGCCAGCCTCGGCCCCGGTCCCAGTCAGTCCTAGATCATCATCCCCTTCGGCCGCCTCTCGTTGCTCAGCTTCATCTAACAAACGTTGGTAGCGCTCCAGACATTGATTCGCTGTTCGGCCAACGATCGGTGCTATTGTGCGCCATTGAGTTGGCATCAACTTGGCAAGATGAAGTAGCTTCTCGTCCTCCTCTTTTGACCACTCGGCTGATCAAAAATGCAATCAAAATGTTAGATATTGCAGCTATAGATGTGAGCCTGGACGTTTTTTAATTTTTGAATCTTTTACTTACTCTTTTTGATCGATGGATCTAGCCATTCATACCATCGCGCTTTGCATTGTTTGGGAGTTTTCCGAACCAACAAGGAAGATATTCGAGCCCACTGATTTTTCCCATATCTGTAGTGCGGAGTTAGATCAAATATTTGGT